CCTCTGAGACAAGAGAAGGCCAGGACCTCGGGGATGTGGCCAAGGTGTTCACCAGCTGAGGACTGTGGCTGCCCCCGGAGAGAAACATCTGCCCAGACAATGGCTGGCTCCCGGCCCTCCGCCACACCCCTTCTGCAGATGGCATTAGCTTTGGGCAAAGCTTCTTCCTCTCCAGTTGTGGGCCTCCCACCCCCCTCTCCTTCCTTCCTGTTGGCAGCACGGAGCGGCACGTACAGTTGATCAATTATTAACACACACAATATTTGTTTCACAGAGATGCATGGATGTGTGTAGCTGATTTCCTCTGGCCCTTCCCAAAAGAACACAGAAAAACCAAAGGCATTTGTGGGTTTTTCAAACCAACATAAATATGACCATCACCATAGCCCATCCCATTACACTTCCAAAGTGGGCCTGCAGGTAACACAGGACACTCTCATCCACACAGTTACCCCCGCTGCAGGGTCTGGCACCTTGGCGAGCCCCCAGATGGTTCCAGCTTCCTCCTCAGATGGGTGCCCCTCTTGTCCCATCCTCCTAGGCCACAGGCTGGTCTGTGTGTTTGCCACATCTGGCCTTTATTTAAAACTCCACCTCAAAGTATTTCATAGCACAGAATATCTTTCCTTATTAAATTCTCCCTCACATATTTTTTTCATAAAACAGGCACCAAAAACTACAAACCTACCTGTGGCTCTCAAAGTATCTGTTTATAAACCTTTGGAAACCGTTTGCAATTCGTTAATCACATTTTCAAAGGAAGTTACAGATTACAGATACACTAACAAATGCCATATACTATGCCTCGGCCCCAGTAACAAGATCCTCACGCAGGGAAGAGGGAGTGGGGCTGGTGGGCCTGGGGTTTGTCCCAGGCCGAGTCCCATGGGAGAGGGGAGAGCTGGCCTGGGAGGCAGAGATTTGAGAACTTAGTTATTTTTCTGTCCCTCTCTGTCTGTGGCCACACATATGTCCTGTCAGGGGGAAAACAGGTACAGGGGCTCAGCCATGCTTAAAAGTGTAATTTATCTCGATTAGCAGTGAGGTAATCGAGGGTTCCCTATAGGAACACCAAATCCCTTGTTCCTAAATAACCATTAAAGTACCAAAGTTTGTGAACAGATTCCCTAAAATGTGCTTTGAAAGTAGTTTATTTTAAAAGAAAAAAACAAAGGCATTAAATACTATACACAAGTCGAACTCTGTTGACTACTTATGCTTGAAAGTCAAGCCAGCTTTTAAGAAATCTTTAAAAGGGAAGGGGGGTCATGCGGAGAGAATGTATCGGTACATGACACATCCGAAAGAATAGAGGCTTGATTCAGGTGTGCACACCTTGTTTCGGGGCTTGCTTCAAATCTGTTCTCTGTTTTCTCTGCGCTGACGTCACTCTCAGGAAGAATGGCAGAGGTGGCCACGAGGAGGCCAAGTTCACATCCACCTTAGTGATGCTAGTGGGTGGAGAGCCTCTTTGTCTGGATAAATCCAAGAAAGCATGTCAGATAGAGTTTCATTTGGGTTGGCCTGAGTTATGTCCCATCTCTGAGCCAATCACCGTGTCCTGGAGGGACCTGGGTCTACCTCACGTGCTCAGGTCACTTACCTACCTTTGAGCCAAGGGTGGTCTTACCTCCACTAGAACTGTATTTATTGAGAATAGGGTCAAGGAGTTCCCTACAGCAACACAAGCATGATTACCATGTCAAATGTGGGGAATGGATGGTGACAATCTGTAGGACAGGTGTCTTCCTAAAGAAGGTCCAGTCTCTAGCCATTTAATGTGTTTCTTAATGTGAGAAATGCCAAAGGTGGATTTGGAGGCGTTAGGCTAGAGTTTATTCATCATTCTCGCCCTATTTTATATGTGCAACAGACCACTGGCTTTTCCTTTTCTCACCCAAATTGATCGCTCTACATCAATCTGTATTCTAAAGGAGCTCAGCCATTAGTAACGACCCACATGGAAAGAGTTTCAGACCTATTCCACGTGCCTGGACAAGGAGACTGTGGAGGGTGTCCCGGCAATGCAGTTCCATAGGGAATATCCCCAGCCCTGTGTCTTTCAATGAAATTAAATTACAGAGACTTACCGGAACATGGCAGCTTATTCATCCATATGCTGGGAAGTCTTGCTTTCCCTCCCTCTCTGATCTCTTCAAGCTTCATGAATGCCAACAATATAATCCACTGCATTTCTTGAGTGGTTATTAAAAAAAAAAATGAAGAATTACATTTTAGGAATGGTCGGAAATCAAGGGATCTCTGCAATTCTACCTTTGCCAGGTGCCATCTAAAAGGACCTGGGTTCTTCAGCACAAAGATACATTTTTCTTCCGGGAGAGTCTTGAGTCCCAACTTGGTGTTGCGTATACAACTCTTGGCGCGTAAGATACACACCAGGAGGAGGCAGGTGTGTATGACTGCCTGGCATCATCTTCTTCAACAGACCTCTCCTTCCTGCCTGTGGTTTGCAGAAGAGTGACCTGCAAAATTATTGAATGGGCCCCCTTCATTTCATGGAAATGGAATATTAGCCAATTGTGTACAGTGAGCCTGTCTTCACCAAGAAGGTCATGGCTCTCAGGAAGCAGCGAGCTACATAGGAGGTGTTTAATTTGTATCTGGAAATGTGCTCCCCGCTTTACATATGGCATCTGTTTAACCCTCTCGACCGCCCTTGGCTGTGGAGCCCTCTTGATTTCCCACTGGCAACTGAGAGAAAGGAAGCTTGGAGCAGCCGGGCGCCTGGCTCGGTCACATGCCCAATAAGTGGCAGGATCACTGTGCTCTCCTCTTTTAACAAAGACAAATGGACACTTTTTCTGAGGATGAAGGAACTTTGGTGCTCCGGACCTTGAAGTCTTTCTAAATTTAACAGTGGTCGAACTAACATGAGGCTTAGCAGTGAAAATTTGGCCAGGGGCTATAGTAGGTGGGGGTGTCTTCCCCCATATTGGCTATGATCTTATCTGACTTCTTATTCCATTTGTTATTTAACTTGTTAGAGCACATTTTCCCATTTGCAAGCTGGGCAATAAATTGGCCTTCCAGGGGCAGAGGGGCGATAAGCTGCCCGAAGTCCGTGGGGAGGAATGAAGCTCTGCTCAACTGACTATATTCTTAGTACCTGCCACTTGCTAGGTGTCCAGCAAATGGAGGTTGAATAGGTGAATGAAGGAGCATTTTGAGGCAACCAAAAGTACTTCCACCCAAGAGACAGCTGAGACCTGGCACTAGGCTACCCAAGAAACCATGGAAGTTTGCCTCAAATAGTCGGAATCGGCTGCATGAACGCCCGGGGAGCCTAGTGGCTCTCAGTGGTGGCTCTTACTAAAATGGGACTTGGGGCCGTTAGCACAGGTAACAGTGGTCCAAGAATGTCTGACTCTAGCTCCTCACGGGGACGATAGCCCGTCTTCGCATCATCTGCCAGTCTCCCATCACCCCTCCTCACTGTGAGACTCTGGGGACAACCGGTCACACTCCTCCTGTCCCCCCCCCTCAGCCCAGCCTGGCTCTCCCCAGGACCAGCGCCCCCCTGCATACATGAACTTTCCGTAACAGGATCCAGTTGAGAATCTGCTATCGTTTACAGCGGCTTCTGAGGGAACCACTTCCCTTCCCCTTCATCTGGAGTGGATCTGATGTCATAAAACTCACCGTGAACGTCTGTTCATCGGGAACCTGAGGGAAGGGAGTGGAAGGCCCTGGGACCAGGGCTGGGCAGGGCCCATTGAGGCGGCCTTCCTGGGTGGGGGGTGGGCAGTCTCCAGAGTTGTCTCGGAGTTCCCGAAATGCAGTCAAAATGCAGAAGTAGAGAGGGTGGGGACCTCCTGGACCTGTTTGGCCCCACAAGGACTCACTGGTCTCTCCGCTAGACTTCGCTGGGGGCCAGTTTGGACCTGTTTGGTGCCACTGTGATTTTCTGCTTCATGTGTGATGTGTCCTCAGCCCCTGTCTCCGTAGTAGCCAAGCAGGGTCCAAAATGGCAACTTGTAGTTTCGGAGTCTTAGACTCTTACCAATTAAATCAAAAGATGACCAATTTAGAGACAAAAGCAAATAAGATAAAACTGTACATACGGATGTTTTTCCCAGTATGCCATTAGCCATATCTTACTGTAGAGGGGCTGCTTCTCTGCAGCCTGCAGTAGAGGGCAGACTTTCCTACGTTATAAACACCCCAACAGCCAACATTAAAGGCCCGAGACTCGGGAATGTCCAAACAGACGCATGAGCACCGGGTTGATAAAATGGTAGGCTTGCCGGGTGACTTAACAGCAGCGACTCGGGGAAAAATCCTGAACCCAGTTCCCCAGTGAAGAATGCGCTCATCAGCTTTTCCTGAGAAATGCCCGAATGGCCATTAGACCTGGCAGTGACCCCCAGTGCCCACAGCCAGCTGGGTGAAGCAGTGTCCTGAGCTCAGGGCTGCGGGGGCCAGTGTGGCGGCAGGCAGGAGGCTCTGTGTCAGCACAGCGTTCCCGGGACGTTGAACCCAACCGCAGGGACCTGTGCTTTCGTAGCCTCGCCAAGGGTATGGCCTGCATTTGAGGCAGGAGGTAGGGGTGGAGAATCATAAAACGCATAGGGACACCACTAGGCATTTGGTAACATACGTAAGACACCCTTTCCTGTGTTTTAAAGCTTTGCTGCAGGGGAAAGGCTCTCCTCCATCTCACACAAAAACCATCCGACCAGAAAACTCCGCTTTGCATCTGGTGTGTTTAGAGCCAAGGGGTTCGCTAGATAAATTCATATCCAGCAAAGAGTTGACTTGTATATTCTCCCAGCTCAGAGCAAATGTTTACAGGCATCTGGCCTCAGCTCTCCTGCCACTCAAACCTCTAGGACTGGCACCCAGCTGGGCCTCTCGCTGATACCCCTGCGCGCGTGGTCTCCATCCTCAAAACGGGGCTCGGCGGGAGAAAGGTTGCCCTGGCTGGTGATCTCACGGAAATGTTTTCTTTATTTTCTTTTCCTGTCCCTTCCCCTTGCTAGTACGAAGAAGGAAAAAAGCGAAGGAAACCCAACTACAGTAGCGTTGACCTCTCCGAGGTCGAGTGGGAAGACAGAGATGACGTGGTAAGTGATTTGCTTTCCAACCTGGCGCGGAGGGAGCTCCATTGTACTCACTGCTGTACCTGGAGGCCGCCCCGGAGCCGGCGGGAGGCCTACCAGAGGGGCACCTGGCCACCAGAGGGACGTGCAGACAATGGGCCCTTGTGCTGAGTTTGGAGTTTTTATAACTCTCCCGCTGGTCAGACCGGTGCACACAGGCCCGCCAGCCAGCCTGCTTTGCACGATCTGCAAAAACCACCCCCTGGTGGGCTCTGGTCCCTTCGGCAGCTGATGAATCCATATGCTTCTCTGGTGCAACCGATGGGACTGTCACTGTCAGGAACCTGAGTAGGTGGCTCTGCCCTGGGCAAAGTCAGGGTCAGAATTCCGCTGTCAGGGTTTCCTGGGCTCAGCTCATGTTTTTGAAGAGCACCCCAGGGCTGCTCGGTTGGCCACCCCCTTTCCTGGGCAGTAACGGCCTTTCCCCCTTCACTGGCCACACTGCAATAGCCACACTCTCATTTCCCACACAGATTCAGCCTCTGCTACTGTATCTAGAACTTTCCTAGGCCCACAGCTTAGCCCCGTCAGTCTTCCTGATACATTCAATCAGATTTGTTCGACAGGGCTGCCTCTGTGTGAACCCAGGCGGACGGTCCTCAGTTAAAGCGTAACTACCCAGGTGTTCCCACGTCCTTGCTCCTCACGTCTCTCCGCTGTCTGTCATTGCCTCTCTGCCAAGGCCACATTCTGCCTGCATCCTCCCTGATGTGTCTGGGCTCCCCTCTTAAGTTTCGCCATTGAGTCAGCATCGTTCCCCTCCCTCACTCTGTCCTGCTTTCCAGAGGGCTGGTGAGGGGAGCCCCCGAAGTCCCCAGGCTGGGCTCTCACGCCTTCCAGGAATATGGCCAGCTCGGCGGTTCCCTGGCCGCAGCGCTTCTCCTCCATCCACTGCTCCCTGGACATCTCAGCTGGCATAAATCTCTGACTTTCTTCCTTGCTTATAAAATGCCAAAGCCGTGCCTGTTTCAGAATTTAACCTATTTCCTTCTACATCTGCACTAAGCCTTTTAAAAGCCGGGTTCAGACTAAAGAACGTTGCCGTTTGGTAAAAAGCTACTTCCTCTTCGGCGCTCTTTTGCGCACGCACGCCGGTGGTTCGGTGGCCTGGTAGAGTTTCCTGTTCTGTTGTTCTTGAAACAGTGTCATCAGGATTCACGCCGGGTTCTTCTGATTGTGCTGCACCTAATATACATGTCCTTTCTTTCCAACCTGCTTGTCCCACAAAAGCAGCCGAGCCCCAGTGTGAGGAGGCCAGCAGCTCAGGGAGGAGCCTTCCTGGGCTCAGACCTGCTGTTTGCAGGCTGCTGCTCCCGGGCCAGCAACGATTCTGCCTGCACCTCAGTTCTGTTTCGTGTTCTTTTCTGTGTTTTTTTCCAGTAAAATGACTATAATGATAATAGCAACAACCTCATAGAGCTGTTTTGAATCTTAATTGTGTTAATATATTGAAAGATATACATGAAAGCACCATTGTGTGGGCATGGTGGGCATCCTGAGTGGCAGCCGTTGTTAGCATTATTGTCACCACTGGTCCTCAGGAGACCTTCTCATTGAGCAGAGCCCTGTGGACTTACAGTTGCTAAACTGTCTCGTGAATCTCCGACGGGTGCATCCCATTGTGTTCTTTTCTCTCCCATCTTCGCTTTATCTGTTGCTTTATTGTGACCTCACTGGACGCTTTGGTTTTCTCTCCCAGAAGGCTGTACCTTGTCAACATGCTTCCCTGTCCCTTCATCTTTCCCGCTTTAGTTGGTATGGCAGGCAGGCCTGGTTAGGTTCATCCTTACTCCAGAGTCCCCCCTCCAGGAAGCAGCCCCTCTGCTGGCTAAGGCTCAGCTGGCACTCGCTTCTCCTCTGCCTGCGACTTGAAGACATGTATGACATGGTTTGCTCTAGTGGTCACCTGTGCCCCAGCTAATTTTCAGGGAGGTGATATCCCCTTTTACTAAGGATGATTTGGAACATGCTTTCATTTCCTTGTTCTGTCTGTCTCTCTTGTCAGAGCTGCAGAGCCTCAGATTCCCAGCCTTGTGTGTGTGTGTCCTTCACTTTCACCCGACTCACNGGATGATTTGGAACATGCTTTCATTTCCTTGTTCTGTCTGTCTCTCTTGTGGAGTTGCAGAGCCTCAGATTCCCAGCCTTGTGTGTGTATGTCCTTCACTTTCACCCGACTCAAGGACTAGGTTCTGGGTGTCCGCCCCCAGAGTTCCCACATCTCCAGCAATCCCAATGCTCTCATTCTGCACAGATTGATCTCTGGTTGTTCCTTGGGTTCCCGTCTCTTGCCTTGCTTGATTGGAAATATCCAAGTCGCCATTTCTCTCCCAGGGAATTGTATTCCATTGATTGGAGAATTTTGGAATCTACATAAAGCCTCTCTGTGACGTCTACACAAGATCCCATATGCCCATATGTCTGCCACCGGGGTTTGCATGTGAGTAGCAGAAGGAGGGGTGTAGGTGAAGATCTGGGAAAGACCAGGCAAGCAGAAGCCGTTTAGGAAGTAGCACGAGTCTGCCCAGCTGCAGAGACCTTCTGGGAAGAATGACCCTTCTTCTCTGGGCAACTAGGCTTTTGTGCAATTTAATGACCTTATTTATGACACAGACCCTGTGCACTTCCAAAAAAGGTGTGAGGTCACATATTCTATTAAAGCACACGCAAAATAAGACTGGATAGCATTGAAACAAGAAAAAAAAATCAGAACTCATTTAGGGGAATGAGTGAGGCTTCCGGCTCCAGGGTGAGTTGGGCATCATGTCAACTGTCCTACAATGAGTAGGACAGACCTTGCGGGACCCGTGAGCCAGGTGTGACCCTGACGCATGTGTGGCCCAGACTGAATCACGGGTGTGGATCACCTTTGGCTGTTTCTGAGACCTTTGGCCATTTGGTTTGTTCTTCACGGCCATTCCTGTACCTGTATTAAAAATATATCTTTAAGTTCCCACAGGTGGCTGAAGGGACTAAGGATGGTTTTTATCTTACTCCTATTACTTTTTGGTCATTCCCGAATGTTCCACCATGGACACTATTACTTCTATAAACAGAAGGAAAGCTAATATCAGTAAGAACTCCCACATTTTGAATTCTCCCTACACGTTAGTGCTGTTCTAAGTGCTGTACGTGGACGAACTTGTTTATTCCTCACAACAACCCTGAGAAGTTGATGTTATCACTGTCCTCATTTTACAGGTAAAGAAACTGAGGCAAAGAATTGCTGTAATGGTCCAAGAGCACTGAGTGTAGATTCCCAGCCAGGCAGCCTGGCCCCGACGCTCTTGACCACGTTGGTGTGCCTTAGGAAGAGCCCCTGAGTCCAAGAGTCCATGGAGACCCTATGTCAGTGCCTTATATGTGTTTTCCTCCTGTAAGGGGTGCAGAAAATACAGGTTGTGGCCTTGCGTCCAGCTGAAACCCTGTGTGAGCCCTTTTTTCCACTGCCTTCCTGGCAACTCACTTCTTCTCACCTGGCATGATGCTGCTGGAAAGATTCCTCTGAGTCCTTTCTTTCCAAAGCTGGAGAGAGCTCTTCTAGAGCATATTTCTGAGACCATTTAGTTCGTTCTTCACGGCCATTCCTGTACCTGTGCAGCTCCTGCTTGAGCCCTGGGCCTCCAAGCCAGCACAGCCCACCTGAGAGCCCAGGCTGAAGCAGGGCCAGGGTGGTAGTTGGATTTTGTTGTGTAAGCGCTGTGGCCGAGCCTGCTTTCATCTTCTGGCTAAAGGCGGGCGGGGGAATAGCAAGCTGTTTATCCTGCTCTCCCGTCCCTTTCATCCATTGGCTTGGCCAGGGTCGCATCCGTCAGGGCCCAGAAGTGCGTGAGGCCTGTGCACCGGCAGAGGTGAGGCTCGTGTCCTGATGCAGATAATGAACGGACACAAGGAGGAGGAGCTATCTTTATATAATTCTAGACAAACCCTAAGGTGACCAGGGGCTCTCTGGGGGAAGCTTCCCTAGTGAACTCTGATGCTGTAGGCTCACAGTGGAACTGGAAGCGTGGCCACCAGCTGTCACGGTCATTACTAAAGCGGATGCTTTGAGTGCTCGGCGAAGCTGCCTCAGGGTGCAGACTCGAGGGACAGACGCACTGGGGCTCTGGAAGTATCTCTGACCTGGGTAAACCAGGGCCCAGGGGAAGGAGGGTGGTACCTGGAGCCGGGGGACCGTTATTTTCATCCTGCAGAGGTACGTCGGCCACACTGTTGTGAGAGCTGCTGTAATGTCCACTGCATGAGCTCACTCGCAAATGTCTGCTCTCTGATAGGGGACCATGAAGAGAGCCCAGGTGTGCCACTGATATTTTAATTTGCCTGTCTTTGACTCTATGTCAAGTTGAACGTCTGCACACTGACTTTTTGACGGCTGCATAACACTCTAACATGAGCACACCAGTTCTTTCGGAGGTTTTTCCCTGCCAGGCCGTTTTCCTTGCTCCCCTTGCTCCTGCTCTAATCCAGGCAGTGGCAAGTCCCAGGGAAGGCAGACAGCTCAGCGCAGCACCGCCCTCCACGCCCTTCCTGCCCGGGCTGGGACCGATGGCATCCTCACTCCCTGTCACTCTCACCCCTGCTCTGGGTACCGCCTAGGAACCCGGACGCTGCAGCAGGTGGTGCCACGAACTTACCATAGCACTCGGGGTGAGTTGCCCCCTTCTCAAGCCTCCCTCTCCTCATTGGAAAAGTGACATTTCTAGGCTGCTCCGGCCCCACCGGCTGTACTGTCACCGGACAATCTATTGAAAAAGCACCGAACCCCCTCCCATCTTCTGGCAGTGAAGGCAGAAAGCCACCCTCCTGTCAGCCCCAGACCGCAGGGCCTCGAGCTTGTGGGAGAGCTTGGTGGGACATCAAACCTCAGACTATTGCATGGTCAATGTTCAAAACGTTTTCTTTGACTTAAAAAAAAAATCCGGAAATAGCAATGAATTATTTTTATATTAATACTACATAATTTTTATATTAATGCTTTAAATTTGTCCAAATGCTTTCTCTCCTGATTTGAAAACAGAAGTAACCATGTGGGTTCAGGGGGCAGAGAGCCTGTGTGCCGTGGGTAAGCGTCTTAACTCTGTGCCTCGGTTTCCCTACCTGTAAAACAGGCATAAGAATGATCCCTTAAGAGGTGACTTTGAGGGTTTTAAAACCTGTGCCCGGCCCCTAGTAAGAGCTCCGTGTCTATCATATTATCCAAGCTTCAGAAGACTGATGGACTTAGTTTGCATGGCACCTGGCGGATCCTGGGGTCTGGAAACCCTCACTCGTGAGACGCTCTGGCGGAATGAATGAGAGATGAGGAAATTGAACCACAGCAAGGTCACAGGGAGGTGGTGTATGTCATGGCACAGCCCGACACTTGAACCCTGATGTCCTGTGGTACTCCTCTTTCCCAAGGACTGACTCTTCAGTCGGTGCCAACCCAGAGGTGGCTGCAAGCAGCAGTTTTCAACCTGAGGAATGAGGGGGAAGTCACAGGATTCATTCAGTTGTTCATGAGCAGCAGTGAAAAGCGGTGAAATCTGTAGACGTCGGAGGCCTCAGCGCAGCATCAGAGAAGCTGCATTTCTTATGTTGCTCACAGTCAGTGATGTTTGAAAAACACTGGTTACAGCGGGGGCGTCTGTGTCAAGCAAGCTAGAGCTTGAATCCTGGTCCGTTATGCTACTGAGAGGGGCCTGACAGTAAGGAAAAATGAAGATTATGAAGATGCTGCTGCTGCTGGTGCCAATGACGATGGAGGGCAGCCGACATTCAGTGAGTGCTAAGGGGGCACCAGGCACTCTTGTCAGTATTAGCTCCTCTGGTCCTCCTTACAACTCCGTGAGATGGGTGTTGTCATTAATTCCGTTTTGCAGAAAAGTAAACTGAGGCACAGAGAGGGTAAATGATTTGTCTAGGATCCTAAAGCTCTGGCTCCCGGGTCCATTTATCTTAACTAAGGTGCTATCGTGCCCCACAAATAGGTATTCAATGCATGTAACCTACTTTCATTATTGTTGAAGAAAAGGGAAAGACTAGACTAATCGTCTAAGCATTTGCCTCGAGAAAGCGTCGGTGACCCTGGCCTTGGGTCCTCCCAGGCCCCGTGCTGATTGTTCGGTGCTACTGGGAGTGGGGGTGGGGTGGCAGGGAGGGTGGGGAGGCTCACCTCATCTCTGCCTTGCCTGGGGAATGTGAGAGGGGAAGGTCCCAAATGGCTTTAGGCAGGCACCAGAAAGAGGAGAAATGAAAACCATGTTAAAGATAAATCGAGCCGTTCTTAAAAAGTTAGAAAGTAGACTTAATTAGGACCAGCTCTCCCCATCCAAAACCACAAACGTTAAAATGGGAAAATATTTCCAGAAATGCCCATTATGTGTTGTTAAAAAATATCTAGAGTAAAATACATGTTTTATTTTATAATGCCTCCAGATAAAAATTATGCTTTTACTCTGTCTCACGGAAGATGGGAATGCGAACCCGAATCTAGACAACACCCCGAATCAAATGCAGGTTGCTTGCAGGCTTTGCAGTTTTCTATCAGCTCCATCTTACTCCTCAAAAAAAAAAAGAGGGAAAAAGATGGAAAAAAAAAAACACAAAAAAAACAGGCACTGGGCTGGGAAAGAGCTTTCCTGACAGGCTGTGGCATGTCAGCATTTGCTGCTGTTCCATTAAATGGCCTTCCCTGTCGTCTCCCATTGGTGCCCATGACGGCACGTCTTTCATCACGGTGTCTGCTGTCCTTCTCTGAACTCACGGAAGGGCCGCACGTAATTGGAAGAGGTCAGCCAGGGGTGGGGGAGAGCCGGGCTCACTTTTCAAATGGGACCTCCAAAAATCAGATAGAAGGTCACCCTGTTCACTGGCCGTCAGTGTCAGCGGGGCCATTAATTGGCCCTGATTTCTCGGCAAGCATTTGAAGATGATTCATGCTATGCGAAGCTAATCCCTGACTTCCAAATGGTTGGCCTCGTGTGTGTGTGTGTGTGTGTGTGTGTGTGTGAGTGTGTGTGTGTAAACTACTGGGTAGGAAAACATCTCTAACTTAAGTTTTGAAAAATGATTTCTCCATGGCAAAGCAATACCCCTTTTGCGACTGTGACTTATCCCCAGAGACATTCTCGCTTCTCGAGTGAGTTCATGGGCTGCTGGGGGTTTGTTCTCGGCTTCGTCAACACTGCACAGGCTTTTCTGCCATCGTTGCCCTGAAGTTCACCCGAGCACCTCAGATTGAAGCTGAGAGTCATTTATTTTTGTAGTCAGCCCCTCTCTCCTTGTACCACAGCCGTTGGGCGTTTACTCGGCAGGAGCCCTGTTTCAGAGGACCGAGTGCAACAGGCAGACTCACTGCGAAAGCGCCCACGATTCGGCAGAAACAGCCCAGGTCCATCTTACCTCTGCTTTGCACAAGCCCCAAATGTGCCCCCGAGCCAGAGGCTGTGAGGTGTCCTTATAACTTGGTAAGCCAGGGAAGAACTAACATGGCTTTCTTTTTATCATTTTAGTTACGAAACGCCATGGTGAACCGAAAGACAGGGAAGTTTTCCATGGAGGTGAAGAAGACAGTGGACAAAGGGGTACATTTTTCTCAAACATTCTTGCCGCTTAATTTAAAACAAACCACTGTGAAAAATTAGCTTTGAAAGCTCTATCTGGAATAAATATCTTTCGCTGAGATCATTTTTCCCTTGTCTTTACTTATCTCAAACAAGATTCATGTAGTACTGTTAACCTGATCATAGTGTGTCCATTTATTTTTATTTATTTCTGGAAACTTCACCTAGCAGACTAACCATGTTTTCTTTTCTCTACGGCTTTTTTTTTTCAATCTAGAAACGGGTTTTGGTGATGACAAATGACTACTATTATACAGACATCAAGGGTACTCCTTTCAGGTAGAGCTGACCATCATACATGGACATTCCATCAGACCCATCAGTTGTGTTTGTACAAAACCTGCTGACACTCAGAGCTCATCATCTGAAGATAAGCAAACACCCTGCCCAAAGGCCGAACGAGTGAGGAAGGGCCTTTTCCCAGGCTGTTTTCATTTTTTGTTTTCCAGAAGGGGGAAGATGGGTCAGGCTCGCCAAGGAGAACTCACTCAGCTGGCCTTGGCTTTTGCATCTCATTATCAAGGAAATAAGCTTTGGGGGTTCCAACTGAGGGTGGAGAGACAAGTTCAGAGGGTTTTCAGGGTCCTTAACCATCTAACTTGCTGCCTAGTGAGTGTCATTTCACCTTTTATTTCCATGACACACAAAAAATCCTTCAAACCTGGAGGTAGCATACCCATCCCTACATGTTGTACTTCCATTTTAATTTCTCTGAACTGTCCTTTGTGCTTGTCTACCTTTGAATCCCATTATTTCTCTTTGTGACAGTCCTGAAAAATGGCTTGGCCTCAGTGCCTGCTTGCAGATGCGTCCGTGGCATTCTGACGTCTCCTGCTACTGTTAGCTCAGAGTTGGGACACCTTTTGTAGAAAGTGATTTCGAGTGGGGCTGCTTCATGTTCCCGAGCTATTGTCTCGCAGAGCCAGGGAGAGAAAGAATTTACTGACTATAGATTAATCTGAAACATAAATGATGGATTGTTGTCACATACGGCCAGGGATCATGGGTAGGTTCCATTTGGAACCAAGGCAATCTAGGGAACACGGGAGTGCGAAGTGGCTTTGCCAAATGAAGAGACCGTGTTTTCAAAACACGGTCTCTTACGTTAGACAGATGCAGAAAGGAGCTTACATCAGGCCAGTGAGAGTGTGAATACTCTATTAGACTAGGGAGAGAGTTGAGCCAAGAAGCCCACAGAGCAATAATGTGGCTACACTCAAGTGGTGGGAGAAGTTTCCCTTTTAGCCCTTGGGAAGGGGTTAATTTCCCCCAGTCCCAAACTCTAAGGTCTGGAAAGACCTGTTTCTGGTTGAATGTAGGGCAGGGGTGCGTAAGGTGGTAGTAAAAAGCAGGGCAAGTGACCCTTTAGAGGGCGTCCGAGAAAAAAGGACTTGCTAGGGGTCTAAGCAGCTTGCCACGCCTCTTTATAAACACGAGACAGCAGCCAATTGCTGCGGGCACTTCCAATCAGAAAATTTACTTTGAAGCAGCTGATTGAACCTAAGAAAAACCAACACCAACTATAATCAGTGGGGTTTTGAAAATAAACTGTTGGAAAAATTGTTTACAGAACATGAGATGGAAATGTGAAAATGGAAAGTAAGTTAGCCCACAAGTCTATTCCAGTCAGTGCCATGGATCTCAAGGTCTGCTTTGTCTCTCTGCACAGTTTAGGTGTGGCGCTCTCCAGAGGCCATGGGAAGTATTTCTTCCGAGGGAATGTCACCATCGAAGAAGGTAAGATGTTGCCGTGGTCAGTCTTATCCTTACTGTGGGAAGGAAGCCCCAGAGCCCACTTGGGATAATTGAAGAGCTCAGTTATCTGTCCAACACTCTGGCCAATCCCTGGACAGTCGACTCAACTGATTGCTTTCCTAGACTGATTCTGAATGGTGGCAGCCCTAACTAGTGGGGCCTTCCTTACCGTTTCATTTCTTTATGTTCTGCTTTAATCCGCAGAGTCATGGAAGCCACTCATAGGAATCATCCTCTAACTACATTCTCCATAAAAATCGGTACCAAGAAAAACACAAATGAATGTAAAAACTCAAGCCAAGGGAAAGGATGAAAACAAAAATACGCAAGCCTTAGTCTTCTACACACTTGAGCCACAGATTTCACTTGTGTTTCGTGGCAGCCCAGGTCCAAAGGGAATTGTGATCGTTTAAATGATTTACACAGGTCAGAAGAAGGACATGGCCCCTTCCGGCTCCCACATCCTCTAGTCTTCATAAAGCACCGTAAACTCCCTGTAAATAGCAGCGATTGTCACAGCTCTTTAGGACTTTAAAGTTGTTGTCACACCCTTACTGTCTCTTCATCTTCCAACAACCCCTAGCTCAGAGACGTTACCTTTCTCAGTATCAGCAGCTCACAGGGAGGGGCAGGGCCGGCCTCTGAAGGGCTTCATCCCAGAGTGGCCGTGAGTACGCCCCTTGCCCAATCTGGGTGTTCAGTTTTGCAAAGAAGGAATTGGACCAGACCAGTGCTCTGTCCGGGTGTTCCCAGGGAGTACGGCCAAGAGCAGGAAGGTCTGTTAAGAGTCAGGTTTTAATTGGTTGAAGCTGGTTACAAATGAATGTGGTGAAACTTCCAGAAGCTGGACCACCTTGTGGCTCAGATGTAGCTGAGAATGAAGAATAAAATTGGTTGTGCCTGAGATGCTGGTTTCCATAGGCAGCCTTCTGGTTTACCCTCGATTCTCTGTGCATTGCTCCACTGGTATTGGTTTTTTAGTCTCCCAAGCAATTGTGTGACCTCAAGGAACAGGAAGGAGAGGGAAGGGGGTGACTATGACCTGGGCAGAGCTCAGAGCGTGCCCACTGCAGAGCTAATCAATGGTGTGGCCTCTTCCCAGAGATATGCAAGAGAAAACAGGCAATGTTGTGACTTGGGCAAGATACTCAACAGGATGTATTCTCCAAGATCATTTTTTTTTTTAATTCCATAATTTTCTGGCTCCATGAGCCATGTGTATCTCTGTGGATATCACTGCTTATAAAGCCAGAAAATATAAGTCTAAGCCATCTGAAGTCTAACTGAGGAAATAGCTCATGGTCAGAACAATAGAAGGAGAGATTATTAATAGATTATCTGCCTCTCATGTGCCCATTCCCTTGGTCAATCCTCAGGGCATCGCCTGCAAGTTGTTTGGCATTGTTTTTGGATCACTTTTTAGCCACTATCTTCTCCCTGTATGTCTCACAGCTGTTAGGCTGAGAGATCACATAGAGAGAATTTCAGAACTAACTGTAACCACCATGCAAGAAATTAGTTTGAATCCTCAGCAAGGGGAGAGTGTCTGGTGTTCCACACAAGTGAGGTCAGATCTTCCTCTCTCTGTTGGTCCTCTATCAGGAAGAGGCCTTGCAATCCTGCCAACTGGGCTGAGTAACAGAGCCCGAGAAAGCTGCTTCCCCTTGGGATAACTAGGAGAGGGTCTTGTCATCAGTAAGGGCCAAGGCATGATTGGTGTCCTGTTCCGTTCTTGGAGAAGGAAGGAGTACCTTGGGAATGACAACTGCACTTTCTGTAGGACATTCCATGAGGAATGCTGCCCCAGAGAATGTAGGCCTTTTTAATGTGCTTTGCTACTGCCAGCCAGGTATTACAAAGATGACGAACAGGTGGACTTTGCTCCAAATATAAGGAGTCGCTACTGAGGTTGAAGCCATGGGCTGTAGTTCTACCTGCTGAAAACACTTCTCTTCTGAATCTCCTTGACACTTTGTGTCTTTTTTTTTTTTTTTTAATATATCTATTTTTATTGATTTTAGAGAGAGGAAAAGAGAGGGAGGGAGAGAGATAGAAACATCAGTGATGAGAGAGTCATTGATCGGCTGCCTCCTGCACGTCCCCAACTGGGGATCGAGCCTGCAACCCGGGCATGTGCCCTGACTGGGAATCGAACCCTGTTCACCTGGATCCTAGGTCGACGCTCAACCCCTGAGCCACGCCCGGCCGGGCGGCACTTTGTGTCTTTAATATCTACTGTACACAGTGATTGTTCAATAAATTAGAGCTTGTGTCACTATTGTCGGCATTATCAAGCATCGGTAGGTGTGATTTTTGTAAGGAGATGGACCAAAATAAGAGGTGAGAGAATTAGAAAGCAATTCAATTTCTTTGGTGCCCTGGGAACTGAGAGAGGAAGCGGTCGAAAAGCTCTTTCTTTCAGGGTCTCCTCTATAGGTCCTATGAAATGTAGCCAGAGAGGGTTTTGTGGATCAAAGCTGATGAGAACAGAAACTAGAAAAACAGGAAGAATTGACATAATTAACCCAATTTCCAGGAAGGTGAGATCCCACAGAGGGCCTTCACGCTTATAACTCCGTCTGCCATGAGCATTCTCTCCCGTATCCACATGGCTCCTCCCCTCACCTCCTTCAGGATTTTGCTTAAGTCATTTTCTCAGTGAAGACATTCCTGATTTCCATGGTTAAAACTGAATCTTTCTTTCTCATCTCTAGGCACTCCCTACCCATGGCATAGTCTCTCTTTTCCTCCGTAGCCCTCACCACTAACTGACGAGCTATGTGTTTTAATTTTACTTATTTATCTCTTGTCTGCCACTAGAAAGTAAATACCATGAGGGAAGAGATTGTTGTTTTGTTCACTGCTACATTCTCAGGGCCTGGAATAGTACTTTTCTCAGTGAATATATGCAATGAAGGGAAGAAGGGAGGGAGGGGAAAAGGGGGGTGAATGGGTACATGGATTGTCCTAGGGACCAATCACTACCCCATGTAATCCTCATGGAGTCTGTGAGTTAGGCTTTTTTACCTCAAAGAGTTGAAGTGACATTCCCAAGATCACTCAACCAGTCGGCGTTGGAGCCAGGATATGGCCACTTGGATAATATGTGATGATATTCCATCTAATTTATCCTCTACTTCCTGTAAAATCAAGCAGGAGTGTATGAAGATAGGTCTAGTATTTTGCTATATTTTACACATTTGTATTTGAGGAGAAAACTAGAGTCCTGAGTGCAATAAGACATTGTTGGCCATTTGGGAAACTTTGACATCCTAAAACAGGCTGTCAGCACCATCGGAGTCCCTGAGGTCATCACTCAGAACTGTGTCTGCTGACGAGCCACTGAAGTGAAGTCACACGAACACACAAAGAAAGAGAGTGATTATACAGAGTTGGGGTGGTCTGGACCATTCTGTGAAAACTCCTTAATTCCCCGATAGCCCCTGTTCTCTTAGCTACCTTCCCAGACTGATGACTCATTTTTAGTTAGGATTCTGTAACAACTAGCAATTTTTTCTCAAAACAGTTGAGTATTAGCAATTTCATATCATTTGACCTATAATTTCACCTTCACAATCACCCATCAATTACAGACTACTCGTATTATTCCTGCTTTTCACATGAAAAGACAACATTTTAAAAAGTAAAGTAATGTGCTAGTGTCACACAGGAGTTCGGTAGCCTAGCCCAGTCCCCAGTTCAGGCTGCCTGGGGTTCCAAAGGCAGTGTTTCCACCATCGTGCTAAACTCCTCTCCCACAGCTCACTGGTGTGTCATTTGTCTGCAAGGAGTTGAGGCTTTCCTGGGATTCACAGCTCTGGAAGGTGGCGACTGAGTGAGGTGGCAGTAGAGACAGAGCTCTGCCTGGGAAAGAACTTGTTTCCTTTGTTTCAGAGTCCCTTTTCCCAGGCAGATATCTTCGGGGTTGATGTCTACCCTTCACCACCCCACGGCACACAGGAGGCTGAGGCGGGTCGGTGCCCCACACAGGTGCATTTACTCATTAATGCCTTCTCCTTGACCTCCAGGCCTGCATGACTTAGAACACCCCGACGTGTCCTTGGCAGACGAATGGTAAGAATCAAAGCCCTTCATCATTGCCGGTATTTGGTGCCCTCTTTGGTTCCAAGTTGACTATGCTCTCTTGCCCAGTTTTTCTAGTTCAAAGGCAAAGGAAGGTGATGCTATAGATATTTACATGCTCTCGTTTGGGGCCATGTCATGTTCTTAGGTCCTACTGCAACACGGACCTGCACCCAGAGCACCGTCACCTGTCTCAATTAGAAGCTATTAAGCTCTACCTCAAAGGCAAAGAACCTCTTCTGCAATGTGAGTGCGCTTGTAAACGCGGTTGTGTGTGCATGTGGTGGGGGCGGGGGGAAGGGAGTGGACTCAAAGCCATAGTCTGTTTCAGTTTTCCAGGGAAGCTTTGCTTTGGCAGAGCCTATCAGTCACATTAAATCCAGCCAAGTGTCTGCTTCCTGTAGGAATAAGAGAAAGAATGTGGGTTATGGAAAGTTATGCAGAATTCCCAATCCCAGATTAACTCTTAACACCGATTTGTTCCCCTACCAAACCATTTATTCAAATACCTGAAAATGTTACAACTGGGAAGGGACTGTATATACCTGCTCATCCAGCTTCCTTCTTTCACAAATGGTAAACCAGGGCTGGAAATAGGACTTGTCTCATTCAAGGTCCTAATCTAGGTCTCCTGGTTCTCTCCAGGGTGGGATCCCCACTGTGACATGTCGCCTCTTGTGGGATATGATCTACTCCTCCCACCAAGTTCCCCCAGAGGGAGTTCAATAAATCAGAAATGGCAGGGACGCAGGCAGAGGGAGGGCAGGGAGAGCAGCAGCGGGCCCGGCGTTCACCAAGGATTAGATGGACATCATATGAGCCCAGCTTTTTATGTCCTTTTACTTTTTTTCATGACATATTTTTAAAAAGTATAGAAATTAGATTTAAAAACCATTTATATTTACCATCAAGTCTTAATCTTTTGCTATACTTGCTTCACGCACATTTTTAAGGAATGAGACATTACAGATAATGATGAAGCCCGAGCTCCCTGTCCTGTCCTATTTCCCTCCCAGAGAGAATTACCATCGTGTATTTGTTCGTCAGTCCCACACAGTTTAGACTATATACGGGGTGGGGCAAACGTAGCTTTACAGTTCTTATGGAAAATAATACAATAACTAATAAATAAGAATACAAGAATGAATTGTTTCACGTACTCACAACTGTAAACTTACTTTTGCCCCACCCTGTATATAGGTATCCATTAAAAATAAAAAACATTACTTTCTATATTAAAATATATTGTCTATAAAGTTTATATATACAGTATGCTATATATATAGTATAATACTATATCTTTTATTCTACATCTTGTGTTTTCACTTATTATAATTTTGAGGTGTATTTGTGTTGATCATTTAATTCATTTGTTTGAATTACTATATAGTATTTCACTACATGACTATTTCTCAGTTTATCCATTGGCGTTTTTATTTGGTGATGAGTTATTTTTACTTTTACAACAAAGCTCCACCATGTTCTTGGCCCCCAGCCTAGGAGAGACTGACCTGCTACATGTGATAATTAGTCGGCCCCTGTTGTGGGGTGATTGGAGGGCTCTAGGATGCCTCTGCTAGACTCCTGATATCCCCCATCCCCTAGCCTCTCCCAGAGCTCTGCCAAGAGTCCCTTTGCAAAGGGACTTATTTCCCCCTCTAAAATGAAAAATAACAACAGTTTCTAATGGAAAAAATCACAAAATAAAGAGTGCCAGGAGTTAGGAGGTTATCATATCCCTTCTTACAACTTACTGAAATTGGGGCCCTGGGGAACCATAGGTGTTGACAGAGGACAGATTTGGGGTAAGAAGAGCGAACTCTCCAAGGACTGCTGCCCCTGGTCTTCACACCCCCGGGTTGGCATGGGGTCTGTGGCATGGACTAGAAGGGGGGAGAGAGCAGAAAGCAGAAGTGTGAGATACCCAAGGCTCTCCACTTACTGTTGTCTCATCCAGACCCTTAGGGGGCTCCTGGATTGCTGACATATCAGGTGTCAGACCGTTTCATGTTTTTAGCTGATGGGAGGCTAGTGTATAAAGCAACACACTGTGAGAAAGTAGCCTGCAAATACTTCAAAATGAGCCTGGTGAGGCCCTCTTTGGGGCCTGGCCAAAGCCGTCCTCTCAATCTGTCCCTCCCAACAGGTGATAAAGAACTGATACAGGAGGTCCTTTTTGATGCCGTGGTGAGTGCTCCCATTGAAGCCTATTGGACCAGCCTTGCCCTCAACAAATCTGAGTAAGTGGTTGCACGTGTCCCCCTTTCATGGCCATTTCCCCACAAACAGTCCGAAATATGGTTATAGTTTAAGAACTAAACTGTTTGAGGAGCCTGGTGTTAAAGTTCTTTAATTTTCCCCAAAGCTCCAAACCACAAGAGCTAGAGCAGATTAGCGGCTGGGGGCTTGGATGGCGAGCTACTGGGTTTGACATATAATTTGTTTGAGTTTTAACATTACATGAAATTTGGTATGCTGAGGTAGGGTGACACTTCCAAGAGCGGGTGGGGGGCGGAAGGAGCAGTTTGCTTCCTGCCCTGCCACGGCTGCCTCACTCCACAGTCGGGGGGAAGTTGGGATGCGGCCCAGGTCCGCTGGGGGGTCGGATGGGGAAGTGAGCTCTGTTTCGTGAGGGTGTCGGATATAACCCTGTGGTTTTAGTTGCGAAGTGGAGGATGTCGGGGGACGGGGCGGGCAAGGGCGGTTGTCAAAGACTAGGGCAAGAACTGCTTCAGCAGCTTATTATTATTTTATTACTATCATTTTTGCTACTATTTTAAATAGGCTGTTAAAGATTAAAAATAGGAAGAAAAATCACTTCTCTTTCTGATAACTTCAGAGCATACGTTATTCAGTTCTCTCTCCTTTTCTGTTCTTTCTTTATTTAGTTCCTTCTGTTCTCTTTTCTTCTGTATATTATCTTCTGTCCTGTCCATTATTCATTCTGCTCTCATTTCCATTCACTCGTTCATTCATTCACTTATCAAATGTTGATTACATGTTTGTTATGTGCCAGGGATGAGGCTAGGTGTTGGTGAAATGGAGGTAACTCAGTTAAACATGGTCCTTGCCACCATGGTATACGTGTGGTATATGGTGTGCTATATGATTAAGAATTGTGATAACTGTGTTGACAGAAAAATAAAGACATGTAGATTGTAAAAAGACCTAGAGTGTAGATGGAACACAGGGAACGCTTTTCTGAGCAGGAACTAGTTCAAGGGCCGGGGAGCATTCCAGAGAATTAGAACAGCAGGTGCAAAGGCCCTGAGGTAAGAAAGTGTTTGACACATTTGAGAGATTTAAAGAAGGCCGACAGAGGGAGGCTGGAAAAATCAGGAGACGAAGCTGCAGAGGGGACAAGTGGTTCAGGACCTTGGAAGTCAAGTTAAAGATTTTGGACTTTATACTCAGAGTACTGGAATATCTTTGAAGGGTTTTAAGAAGGACATGATTAGATTTGTGTATTTTAAAAATCCTTCTACCGCAATGTGGAACATGGATTGTAATGGGGAAAGAAAAATACTAGAGGCTCCTACAGCATTCCCGGGGACTTGCCACTAGGACAGGGCAGCGGCAGTGGGCACAGAAAGAGAGACATGCCCACGTGGCATACTTCAGAAGTAAGACCCTCAGCACTTGATGATGGGTTTGCTGTGTGAGGGGAGGGCAGCTGAACTGTCAAGGATCAGTCTCAGGTTTACAACGTGAATAACTCGGTGCCTCTTCCCAGCATGGGAAATAATGCAGAGCAAGTTTGGATCGGCCAAAGTTCTTTTCTAGACATTTTAAGATTGAAAATGACTATAAGTCTCCCAATTGAGGTAGGCAATTAATACATGAGCCTGAAGCCCCAAAGAGAGACGGCCATTCTCATTAGATTTGGGGTGTTTGGGGGATGCTTACCTGCGTGGGTCTTACTCCCAGGGGTACTGGGAAAGAGTCGAAGCCTTTCCTGGGGTTGCATCCTCCCGTGGAGGTGGAAATGCTTCTGGAGGCTTTCATGAAACTCAAATCCCGGGCAAAGATTGCTGACTCACTCCTAACACGTGCTAAAGATTTCCAAAATGGTAGCTTGCTCTCTAGTCCACATCTGTAACTTATTGGGCAGCCTGGCTTTCCAATTCTGTATTGGCTACAAGCAGAAACAAATGCATCGTGTTGGTTTTTATTCCCCCTTAAATACTTAAAGGTAGCATTGACCACTCTGACTACCATCAGTGATCTTAGATTGCAGATGGCATGGAGAATGCTTCGAAACAAATCGTGGCTAGCATCTGGAGCAGGGAAGCAAACTCAATCATCAGTATTCTCTTCATACTTACATCGAAAATAAAATTATATATTTGCTGAGAAAACCATTTGACTTTTTAAAAAGTAGTGTGCATTGCAAATAGCCTAAAGAACATCTTCAAACATAAAAATAACCTAAAAAGTTGGAAAAAACAAAAAACAAGCCTTTAGTGAAATTTCAAATGACTTCTCTTGTCAAGGCCGTTCTTCGGGTTCCTGTGAATGGCAGCTACAGGGCTGTTTGAAGAAGCCCTTTCTTTACTCATCTCTTTGGGGTTGGTGGTGAGGATAATAAGGCCTCTGCTCTAGTAGATGTTACAACTTGGTGCCCCTAAATGTGTTGAATTCAAGTCCCAGACATTTCCAGGCTGTGGGATCCTGCAGACTTTATACAGCAGCTCAGTTGCTTATTTCTGCTAATGACAGATTCCACAAATGGTCTCAGGACCAACAATAGACTTTGTAGCATCTATGCAGAAAGCTGCCTTTCAGGACTTGCCTCCTCTCCTTAAAGTCCTTAAAGTCGTTCCGCAGCCCCCTCTCTCTGAACAGACACCCTGAAACTGGAGACAGAGGTGTGTGGATTCAGCCTCGGGGGAGCATTTTCTCTTGATACTTTTATCGTCACGGAGTTCTTGGATTTTCTTGCAAGAATTAGGATGAAAACTTTTATAAGTGATCAGAGTTTGCCTTTCATGCTTGGTGTGCGTGTGTGTGTGCATGTGCTTCTTTCTGTAATTTCTTTTCAAATTTCAGGTTTCAAAAGTGTTGTTTCATTAAAGAGCCTATGAGTCTTAAAACGCAAAAGCCATCATCTGCTTACTGCTTACAGGAGCCCTGACACCTGCCGCTCTGTTTCAGGAATTCGGACAAGGGCGTGGAGGTGGCCTTCCTTGGCACTCGCACGGGCCTCTCAAGGATCAACCTGTTCGTTGGTGCTGAGCAGCTCACCAATCAGTAAGTAGGAGGGACCCTCTGTGAGGCCCAGGGAGGCCCTGAGACGGGAAGCTTAAAAGGAGGCTTATTTCATTTCTTGATTCCACCACCAGTAGAAAGAAAATTCAGACACCCCAGGCCTATTGACATTTTTCCTCTCTGTTCCACCACGGGGGCCCCAGTGTATGTGTTCACCTGCCCGTTAGCCCTTCCACAACCCTTTGTTCTTCAGGCTTCTTGGCTTCTGTCCATTGTCCTGGAGTCCTCTCCCTCTCTGGTGAGTCATTTCAGATCTCTGGACGTGGTGTGGCTGCTGGGGTGGCGGGGCAGCCAGAGGACGACTCATCCCCTGACAAATGGCTTCAGGGAGTTCAGCTGTCCCGAAGCTCTGCTGAAGAATTCCTGCCTGTCCGGGAATCAGTGTTTGTTTGTGCGCGTTTTGATAGACCTCTGTGGTCTGCACTGAGCCTGAGGGCCTGTGGAGCCCCACGCCCAGGAGTGGGCAGGCTGGTGTCATTCAGTTGGACAATGTTTCCGAGTGCTTCCAAAGACACCCAGATGGACAGTGTGCAGAGCGTTGCCAAATGCAGGGCCCAGATGCCCTAAAACCGCTGCTCAGTCCTTTGTCTCCAGAGAGCTAACTCCTTAAACTGATGTTTGTCCAGAGCTGGCGTGAACCTAGGAAGTCTTTCCTGAGCCCACTAATAAGTTTTCTCAGTTTCTTTTCCCTGAAGCAAGAGACCTTATTAGGCCAGGGACAAACGGAGTCTGAGATTCAGAAAGCATGCAAAGTGTATGTGTGAGAGCCCAGAGGTTCCCGGAGGACCTCACATACCCTTTGAGTTACCCAGTGATGAATAACCAAGAGGGGTGGACCAGGCAGGGGCTCCTCCCGTTTGAACCCGGTTCTGCAGCACTCTGGCCTCTGCAGATGAGGCCCTGACAGTGCCCCATCACCTCATGAAACTGAGTCTGGTGCGTGGTAGGTCAATAGATTTATAGATGTTTTGTGGACTGGCTTTTACTTTCAATTCAAGGACTCCCTTTCTCAGCATCTCAAATTTGTCATTTAGGAAGTTGACTATAGTTGTGACTTGATTTTTTTTCAAGCCCTCTTTCACCCTTTACCCTTGAACAGTTGTTTTTGCAGAGGGCAAGTTCTTAGGGAGAAACAGAAGCGTCAAGACATGCATTGCTTCTCCCTTTAGGACCCAGAGAGGCAAAGGGGGAGACAGCGATAGTGTCTAATGCTCAAAGAGGAAGGCTGTTGTTTGTTTTGAGACAAAAACAAACAAGAAAAAACAACCACAAAACGTGGCACCTTGCTAGTCTGTTACCTGTGCTATCATAACAGTTGAAAGACAGCCACACATGCTCAGGACTGCTGGGAAGTGCACCTGGCTTGTCTCACTCATTGCTCCACTGTGTGCATCTGAAAAATGGGGGTAATTATCTCCCTGAGTTATTGTGAGAACCAAAAAATTGTAGATATACAACTGCTGTGGGAAGCCAGAAATACCTACAACTTCACATGCCTATCCAAGTCAGATTGATGAAGAATTTCATGTCTAAAGAGGAAATGAAAACTCACATTTCAATGTTTGTGAAACCTGATGATTTTAGGATCAGGAAACATTACTGCATGATACACCAGTGCCCAGAGGAGCCTGTCTGTGCCGTCAATTCCAGAACTCCCTGCACCCAACATCCTATATAGCATGGGGGTCTCTGTACCTTCTCAATCCTGCTCAAGGCTCCAAAGTTGGCCTTCTGAATAAGAGCAGAGCGCTTTTTCCAGCTTAAAAAAATAAGATTTTAATTTCTGGAGCATCAGCCTGCTGGTGAGAGTCAGTAAACAAGTGGAGGCAGCAAGGTCAGACCTTTTTGGTCTACTATGTCCAGGTCCAGCAGCACAGCTTCACAGGGCTGTTAGATGAGCAGAGCTCTTCCACCGAAAGGTGTTCCTGCTTCTGAGGGAATCTGAAAGAACTGAGAAATGCTATTTAGGAAAGATGTAGCAAGTTGTCTTTACTACTTGAGGAGTTCTTATATGGATATGAGCTTGGATATACTCTGTGATCATTAAGCAGATACTGAGTGCCCAGGGAATGCCAAGAAAAATAAAGTCTCTGCCTTTAGAGAGGAACTAGAACATGCTAGTGTAAGTTACAGGGAGGCATAGTTCAGTGGCCTCTAAGAACTTGAGGGGAGCTTCTGACAGCGTGAGCTTCCTATGGAAGTAGTGAGCCCCACATCTTTGGAAGAGATCAAGGGATCACAGGTTGGCCACACCCTAAAGTTACAGAATACTTTTCTAAACTGGATGCCAAATTCAAGTAGTTCCTAATAACCAACTAGTTATAATTTAGCATATAAATTTTACCATGGTGAAACAATAGAGAATATCTGAGCACTTCTCTCCATGGTCTATATCAATGATTTCCAACCTGTGTGCCACAAGAATTATAAAACATGCAATACCTGACTATTTGGTCAGGAACGCTGCCTCTTTTCCCTTAGATTGTCAAATTAAAAAATGACAACAGACAACACGACAATAGCCATCAGTGTGAATGAATCAAAATTATATCTATTTTTTTGTCATACCAGCAAAGAATATATTTATTGGTGTGCCGCAGAATTTTAGTAAGTCGTTTATGTGCCATGAGATGAGATAGGTTGAAAGTCACTGCTCTATATGATCCAACTCCATGCTACGAACTGCTGGATTGAAAATGGTGTCATTTCTGATTCAACTAATGGCCTTCCCCCTACATACACATTGTCCCCTGACTGGCTCCCTTCCTGAGAGATCCCTGCACAGTGTGGACTAACCAGACAGTCACTCCCTCCCCGAGTTGTACCATACTGGCCAAGACAAAGTGCTGGAGAGTAAACGTGACTCTGGAGATGTCAAGCGACAGACTCATTGGGACTTCAGTGTGTTTAGGGCTGTGAAGGAGGCAAGAGAGTGAGCAAAAGCTCCTCTCCTCGAAGATCTTGGGGCGCTTGGGGTGGGGGCGTGACAACTGTGCAGATAAGCCAAGGGAAAGAAGGCCGTGTCAGAGGGCCCAGGGCCGTGGGCCCAGCGTGGGGCAAGAGCTCGCACGTGCCTTTGTGGGTTTGCATGGTAGGTGGTATTTGAGGTGCACCTTGCAATGAATAGGACTTTGACAGGGAGATGGGCGGAGAGTGCACGGAGCCTTCCAGACGGAAGGGAGCACCTGGGCAGCAGGCCGCGGCAAGGACAGTGAGGGACTGAGAGGACCCAGCGGCAGTCCTGTTTGGCTGGAAAGTAGGGAGAGGAGGGAAAAAAGGAGCCAAGATCCCGACGTGGGCCCATTTTACCTCCTTTGCACTTTTCCTAAGAAGAGTGAGATCTAATTAAAAAGTTGCTCCTCCCAAGGGTGTGTCCGTGTGGTGGATTTTTAAGGCAAGACAGAGCTTCCTGACTACCCTTTGGTCTGATATGCTTTCTGGAAGCTGTTTGCTTTTTTCAGATGCTAAGATTTATCAGTTCACTAGATACACTAGGAAAAATCACTTCACCCACCGGGACTCAGACTGCCAGGGCTCTGCCAGGTATTTCTGAGTCGCCTGGGGGCGCAGCGTTACACAGACCCTCTGAGAAAGGCGGGTCGGGGTTCTAAAGGCCAACAGGGCTTTTACTCGACAAAGGCTATTGGGGTGCACTGCATCCGTGCCCGGCTTTTCCTTGCTCAGTGGTCATGCTCTTCTTATTTCTTCCCATTTCAAGGGACTTCCTGAAAGCTGGCGACAAGGAGAACATTTTCAATGCAGACCATTTCCCTCTCTGGTACCGAAGAGCCGCCGAGCAGATCCCGGGGAGCTTCGTCTACTCCATCCCCTTCAGCACAGGTGGGTGTCCTGGCTGTCCCTCAGGTCCTGCTGGCCTGGGTGTTGCCTGCAGAGTCTGGGGGATAGGTCTGAGTGCTGAGTGGGGCCAGATTCAGCCTTGAGAGGCAATGCCGACTGCTAGCCCAGTGCCGAACCAGCGACCTGTCCTGTAAGCGTAACAGCCCCAAATAAAAGGAAACTCTTTTTGCCTCACCAGGTTTTGCAAACAGCATTTCAAAAGTGGGACTGCTATTTTAGACCATGTGGGATTTGAATACAAACTTCTCAGTATTTTTTTTAATGTTGTGATGGGCCTACTTAGAGAAAGTTTAGGGAGGCATAGCAACCTTTGCCAAAACCTTCAAGTCACACCACTTTGGAGGCCCACAGTTCCCATCAGAACAGAACTGATTTAAGTGGGCCCGCAGGAGTGTACAGTCTTGTGCTCTCTTGACAGAAAGCTGCAGGGACCAATGGGAGGCATGTAGCCAATGATTTTTTTCAGTCCTAAGATATATTATATCTTTTTTATATTATATAAAAAAGGTAAGGTCACCCTCCTCCAAAAAAAGACTGCACACTGTCCCATTTCAAGCAGTTTCAAGAGCAAGCCAGACTAGGACTTCTCTCCAGTTGTCCTTGACTTTTTCTTGTCTCACGCATCCAGTATTGATGGTGCACATTCTGTGTAAGGCTCTGTGCATCATAGAAACATCAGAGATGAGTGAGACCCAGCTCCATGAACTTGGACTCCTCTGGACATTCAGTCTATGCTTATGTTTTATATCTGGCCCTTGGTATTAACCTCATACAAGCATGCCTAAGTCAGCCCCAGTGGAGGCTCTCTAATGCTTATTGTCAAAGCTCCTCCCTTCCACGAAGGAAAACACCTTCCAGAAAAGTTCTTTTGAAACCTGCATAAGACATGTTGGCAGGAGTTGTGCAATAATTAGTTGAATGGGCTCATTAAAAGAAGTTCCCTCATTAATGCAGATATTTAAGAAAAGGTGAAATGTTATAGAAATTCCCTTGCTGGGTGGGATCGTCAACATGATTATCAACTAGGCTCGGCCTGAGCTGGGATTCTTGGAGTCTGTGCTCCTTCACTGCTAGGCCGTGACTAGAGCTCTCTGTTTTTGTCGTCAGTATCACACTTTATTACTGAAAATATCAGCTAAGACCGTGGACCTGCTCATTCTCTGGCGGACCTACCAATGATGTCTTCTTGTGTCTTGCAGTCTCATAATTCTTTCTTTTTCATAGTCCTCTAAAGAAACAACTAGAACTTAGCTTAATAGATCTGGACTAGAATCACTAAGTTATTCTTTGTGACAAAAGTAGCTTTTGCCCCAAAACTGGACAGAGAGGAGCTGTGGGAGATGTGAGCATCCCCCGAAAGTGCTGTGTGTGTGTGTGTGTGTGTGTGAGAGAGAGATGGTCTCTTGTTTCAGTTTGCATGGTAATTATTCACCTTTTTCCCTACAAAGAATTATGTCTGGAATAAAACAAATTCTGATTAATTAAGGCTGTTGCTTAACTGGCTTTTGGCAAGTGATGTTTTCCTTGAACTCTCAATGAAATCATCTAATGCAAAGGAATTTACCTTTTCCCTGATAAAGTTATGGATGATATAGTATCTTAGGAGATTTCATGGCCCCTTTAGAGTCAGGGAGAAATGTTAAAAATCACCAGTGCTGTAGCAGAGCTTCCTCTCGTTCTTTTGACTGTGTGTTGAATGCCTGTACACACTGGAGAGGAAGCTGGTTTTCATTACAGCTTATACTTGGGCCAGGAGAGAATCTCAATTGTTTTGGTCATAGGAATATTCAAATTCAGGTCTGCTTTCTCCCTGCTTCTCAACTCAGTTGGTCCCATGTAACTCACATTCATTGAATACCTTTTATGAGGCAGGAACCAAGTAGGAGTTTGTGCTCAGTATCTTTTAATTCATGGCATTGGAACCATTATTAGTGATTGATAACCTCTTAATACTGATGCCTTATTGTTGCCACATTAATAAGAGTTTGGAGTAAGGATTGTATTCCAGCTCTATCCCTGTTTAGAATGATTTTACTAATAAAAAATTGGACTTAAAATTACAATTTTATAGATCAGTGAAGTTTTAGCCAACAAATCAGACCTAAAGTTCTTAACTTGTAAAATAATTTCCAAACTTTACGTGACGCAGCTCTTTGTGGCTATATTCAGAAAGGCAATACAAATATGATTACCGACACAAGTAAACACTGCAATTAGTAACCAGGAATTGGGAACAAATGTGGTCTGTCCATGATGGTCAGCAATCTTGATGGGAAAGAGGTTGAACGCTCCCAGTGTAGGTGGTCAGAGCCCAGTGATTACTTCAATGGGCGACTGGCTGCCCAGCACCTGTGCAGCAGAGTGGGCCAGCTCTGGGTCCTGGGAAGCGAGTCGCAGCACCATCTGCAGAATTGGTGACTGTGAGCCAGTACGATTACTGTCTTAACTTGTGCACTATGACTTTTCTCAATTTCTGTGTGTGTGTTTTTCCTACAGGAACAGTCAACAAAAGCAATGTGGTGACAGCAAGTACCTCCATCCAGCTCCTGGATGAAAGGAAGTCTCCCGTGGTGGCAGGTAAACAGTGGATTTTAATCACTGACTATAAACCAAGCAGCGCATCCACTTATCTGGCCAGTCAACTACTCCTAGGTACCAGAAAGTGGGTTTTCAAAGGAAAAAAAAAAAATTAATTACTCCCTCTTCGGCTTGGTGTCATCTCCTCCAATCCAAGGCTCTGGCAGCTGGTTGCATTTTGATGTGCAAACAGAAATCTTTCCCAGGACTTTTATCCTTAAACTCTGAGCCAGTAAGAAATTGTTGGATGTGCAGAGGAGAGCCTTTCCCGGCAGTGGGCCACATGCTCATTTAAAGTAAGCGCCCGCTCGCACTTCCATCATTAAGATCACAGTGGGCATACAAGGAGATTGTGGGTTTGTTTTAGGCAAATACAAGCTGAAATGCGCCCTTCTCCAGCGAGCCTGAGATTTTCATCACCCTAATCCCCCTGAGGAATTAGAGTTAAATGTATCTGCAGGTGCTAGGTTTGAGAAAGCCAAAACATTTTACGATTGAGAGTCTTGAATTGTAAAAAAAAAACAAGAAAACCCTGTTTCTGGCTTTTCCCATCTCTCTCACTCTCAGGAGTGTCAGTAGATACCTGTGGCTGGCTGGATGCTTTCACTGATGTCTGGCCCAAAGGGCCAGAAACTGCCACAAGCCCTCCTTGGAGGAGAGTTGTGGAGAAAATGGAGCTTAAGAGCATGTCTGGCATATCATCTATTTCTGATAAATCATTGTTGAATCCATAGCTTGATGGATGGGTGAGACCTTCCAAGCACCATCCTTGTATTGGCTCGCTTTACCAAAGGGAGTCATTCTGTTTTGTTTGGGGGCAGCCTCCCTCAATAAGTTGTACTGGTGGGTGACTTTGAACCTCAACTTCTGTGTCTTCTCAAAGGTTTGTGGGAAGGAATGCAAACAGAGCAGATAGGCTTGAAGTGGTTGTTCTTTGGCTGGGAAACTCTGGGTTTTCTTCCCCCATTTATTTCCAGCTTAGCCTATGCATCATGATTATATTAACAGGTACTGAAAGATTTGGGGACAGTTGCCCTGGTTATTTGTGGGTCACTGGGTATGGCAAGGAAGTCTTATGTATCTGGCCTGTAGCTCATCTTGAACTAAGCAGACCTATAACTAATCAGCTAGGAGATAAGGGATCGGAGGATTCATGGCTGCTGTCTTCAAATTTTGTCACTTAGTGTCTCGGGTTCCTCGATGAAAGTAGGAGACAGGATCATTATTTTAACTCAACAAGATTTATTTGTGCTTAAAGGAAGTTAGACTTGCTAACCTCCAGGCTGACCCAGCCACACAGCTCTGGAGGCGTGTTATCTCTCTGCAGCTGGTGCCACATGCAACACCTATTGATGACATGGTCTGACCAAAGCTGTCTGTCTGTCTGTTTGAAATTTCCTTTTAAAACCATTTCCTTGGGTTTCTCATTTAGTCATCATGAAGAATGTTAAGTATTGGCCCTAAGATGACTGTACCCATCAAGCCCATAAACTATGCCTAAGTATTTCTAAATATCTTGCATTTCATAAATGTCTATTTGGCTGAGTAAGGGTGAAACATGGACTCGGCCTGGGCATTGTACCTCCAGCCCCAAGAAAAATGTGACTTCTCCAAAGGGTTTTCTGGTCTACTGTTGAGTTACACAGCTGGCCAGAGACCACAGGCAGGTTTGGCTCACCTTTAATGGGTGGAAAAGACATCCTCCTGTTTATTGCTACTTAGTAAGTGTCAACTGGTCCCCATTTTCAAAAGATAATTGCAGAGCAAGATAAAGAAACAAGGTTATCTGAGGAACTGTATTTAGTTCCTACTTCTTAAAAATGGTATTATTAATCTTCCTTCTCTGGTATGTTGGGTAGACACAAGATAAAACAGGTGTGCCCAGCTCAGTCTTGAAGGGTGCCAAGGGATGCAGCACCATGAAGGCAATGACCTCTGGAGGACCATTCTGTCTCCAAATGCAGAGTGGCCTCCACAGCACTTCCCCAAATTTCATTGACTCTGACTCACCCATCATGTTCTTGTGTGATTAGTTTCCATAACTTTCTTCTGCGTATTTTCCTCAAATTAAGTGGACATTGTTTACCACTCTAAAGTGAAAAAGGCCACTTTAATTGGGGAAGAAGCCTTGTTTTGGCAGGTGGACGTGGAATATGTGAGCAGGCTTGTCCCCCACCAGTGTGTGCCTCCAACAGCAGATGGGATACAGCCAACTGGCAGTAATTTGGGCTTTCAATGAAATCCTTGTGTTAAATTGAAGTTTATCTGAAAAGAAAGGTGAACAATTTTGCCAATAGTTATCGCGGACTGCTTTGAGAGGCCTGCCCAGGGCCCAGGCCCTGCCCGCTGCTCTCACGTGTGCCGGCTGCACGTGTCTCTTGGAGCAGAAAGAGATTCTTGTTTTCTTTTGTTTTATTCTCTTATTTCTTTTTTCCCTTGTTTTCATTTTTAAACAAAAACATTTAGATACTCATCTGTCAATGACATCTTTGAAGAAAGGGCAGTCAAACTGGGCAGGATTCCATTTAGATGTCAGCCCCAGTGCCTAAATGGGCCCCATCCATCTTCTTGGTCTGTGACATTGCTTACGATCCTCTCTCTAGGAACCTGCCAACTCCCCAGATGCCACTCTTGTGCTGAATTCTCTTAGTTTCCTTTCCCACTGCAAAGGGAGATGTGGTAGGACTTTCCCTTGGACCTACCAAGTCTCTCCAGCCCTGGAACCTCCCGTGTGTGTTAGGCCCCCGGTCCATTTTTCTGTTATTACTGGAAAAACAAACCTTGCACTGTAAGGTCCACATGGATGTGTCACTCAGTCTCTAACTTGCAAAGTGTGTGGTCCTGGGTCTCTGAAGTTCAGTCTAAACCAAGATTGAGGTCATTACTTCTCTCACCTGACTCTGGGTTGACTTGGGGATAACATGAGAAACCGAACAAGAAGATACCTGGATATGAAGATGTATAAAAAGTCAAGGGTTTGGAATGACCCATTTTTATCTCCATGTTGCCAGCCTATCTATTGATTCACTCATTTATTCAATAAATATTTTTTGAACTCTGGCTTTTACCAGACACTCTAGATATAAACGAATAATAACGAGGCCCCCGTGAATGACATGCCCTTCCTTGCCCCGGAGGCTGCAAAATAAGTTATTTTTTTTAAGCCATGTCTACACAGGGCAAACGAATTGAAGAGCCAACCAATTATCTCTAAGGCCCTAGAGGTCAAAGACTTTGTTCTTTCCATCGTATGTCCCTCGCAGCAGAACCCAGTGGAGTACCTGAAGCACAGTGGGCCAACCCTTGATAGGAAGTCTATAAACTGAATTGACCTTGAAGCACCCTGTCCTGCCCTTACTTAGTTATTATGACTCAAGTTCCATAAAAAATGGCATTAATTCTTCACTTTACTCTCAATGAAAGGACTGGTCCTCAGGGACTAAGAGTCATAGGCTCTGCTCCCTCCATACTTGGATGGAAATGACCTGGAGAAGAAAACAAATGCTCGGCGTGGGGGGTGGGGTGGGGGGGCTGAGCCAGGTGGAAGGTGTAACTGTGCAGGGAGCTTCCCCCCCTGTGCAGTGTTTTTCTGACCTCCCCACTCTCCTTCTAGACCTTCCCTCTGACAAATTCAATTTTTGCTAAGAAGTTCAAGTTGCTGGATTTTCAAGAGTCGATAATAAATTTCAAATTATTTGGGCTTGCTTTAAAATGTAAATTTTAACATATCAGAATCTAAACTCTCTCCTAAGAATGTTCCAGTTTGATTTCTTAAACGAATTGCAGACTCTCCAAAGGCAAGGACTGTCCCAGACATCTTGCTACTCACAGTGCTAAGTACAAGGGCTCACGTGGGGTAAATTTGTCAGAAACATTGACTGAACAAAGGACTCGAGGGAGACGAGACTCGTTTTTACCTGCTGCATGTAGGTCCATAGCTTGTGACACTTACTCTCCAGACAGTGGCGCGTGGTGCTGGACTAAGCAGGGCACCCAGCAGTGAAACGCCAGTCCTCTCCAGGGGGATATGACACAGACCTACGTGCGTATTTTAAGGAATAATAAAACTGCGCAGAGCCCCGTCCGAACGGCAGCTGTGCTAACCCATAGTTACCTCTGCCTTAGCAGAAGTCTTTTCTGAGGTGCAGGCATAAAACCTGATACTTAAAACAGCTAATCTCAGCAGCAGTAGAAAGAGATTATAGGTATTTGAGGCATGTGTTTTTCACAGAAAATTTTAAAAACAGATTTATCGAAGTATAATTTATATGCCAACATTTTACCTGTTTTAAGCGTAAAACTCAATGATTTTTTTAGTGGTTTACGGGTAGCGGGGGTCTCTGCTCAGCCAGGTTGTCCCTGTGCAAAGAATACAGACCACATCAGATACATTAATTCACTCCTCGGGGCAAACTTGAAAAGGCTGGCTATGGGCTCTCATTTGCATAATTCTAGGCAGTGTGATAAATAGGAATGTCTGGTGATAGGACAAAAGATTCCATTTTAACGAGCTAATTAGGACAGAGATTGATTAACAGCATTGACCATTAGCTATTGTCAGCTATGAGTTATTTAAACTGAGTGTACAGTTTAATACGGACCCTTCATTAGAACCGGATGAGTAATACTGGCAATCGGCGGAGGCAGACATTCAGCTTGACACCCTTCTTTGGTGGGATTTTACATATGGTATATATGAGTTAATTGGTATGTCAGGGTCATGTATCCTGTCTGCATGGATAAACCTCTATTTTATTAGATCTGAACAAAGGGAGTCTTCTGTCTTGGCAGAAATTAATACCTATTGATCACACCAGTAGTTCTCAAACAGGGGCAATCCGTGCCCCTTCCCCAGGAGACATTTGACAACATCTAGAAACTTCTTTGATTGTCACAACCGGTTAGGAAGGATGCTACTGGCATCTAGTGGGTAGAGGTCAGGAATGCTGCTAAGTATCCCACGAGGCACAGGATGGCCCCAGAAGGCAGAAGTATCTGGT